AATATATATGGAATACATGAGTAAAAGGAAAAGCAAGTAAAACATTGACGCAGCACTTTCCTAGATAAGTAGGCTACAACACAACAGCAACAACAACAACAACAACAACAACAACAACAGCAATCACACACTGTGACTATTTTTTGCAAGCTTGCGCAAACAACAATTCTGCAAAGCAAAGCCAACTACAAGCCCTGCTCCACAACAAACTTCGCCCACGCTTAAGCCCTGGTTGGGATATTGTCAAGCCTGCGCTTAAACTGTTTGCGAATTATAAACATAAAAAGGAAATATTCATGTAGAAACAAATTATGTGACGAGAATTTACGCGGCTAACTTAAATAACTGCCACTTGGATTGTGCAACACTTTATCAGCTGCTTGTTAGCAAAATGTTCAAGGCAATGCCGACTGCCACATTAACGTCAAGAGTATCTTTATTGCATTCAGCCTGACTAGAAGTTTAAATGTGCTGGTTTCGGAGAACAATAAATCAAAAGCAGCAGCTACACAGCAAGTTGACAGAAAAACATTATTATTTAAAAATCTTTATTAGCTGACTAGAAGTCATGGTTAAAAGTAAGTGCCAGTTAACGATAAATTGTTTGCAAGAGTGGCAACTCCGTGATAGTAAGGGTGCAATTATTTTGCCACAAATTGGCAGCGCTGCGCAGCTAAGCACTTGTTGAACATGAGAGTGAATGAAATTACGCTAAAGTGCTTGTTAACTTTGACACTGACATTTGGCTAACGGATCTAACAGCGAGCAGAAATGGATATAAATTGATATGCAGATAGCTTAGCAGCATGCTAGAAGAATGTCTTTCATATATCAAATGATTCAAGTGCTGGTTAACTTTGACAGTAAGCTGCAGCAGCAACTTTCTACATCTGGCAACGCTCTGCCAGGCTGAGTGGTTCTCTGCAATGGCTTGAACTTTTCGGTCTGCTGCAGTTACGCTGCGCACAAAACTAAAGACTTAGGACACAAACTAATGAAGAGGCAACACGCAGCAGCGGCAACAACAATTAAACATTGCAATTAACTTGGGTGCTGTTGCAGCTAAATAAATAACAACTGAACAACATAAATTTGCCGCAACGCACTCAACTGTTAATTTAATTATTAATAGCAACAATTGCTCTTGCGGCTGCAACTAAATGAAGTTGTTGCTGTTGTTGCTGCTGTTGCTGCTGTTGGTGTTGCTGTTGCCTTTGGCACATTGACCCAAGTGACACGCAGCCTGAACTGATTGCTGTGACTTTGTGCTTTTGACGCCTGCCAAGGTGACTGACACCTAACAACCCCGAGAGCAGGCGACAACCCGGCAACAACTTGTAGCCCAGACTCGTGTTGTTGTTGTTGCTCTTGTTGTTGGCCATTGACTTTGGCCTCTTGGCCGAGCAGCGTTTGGGTTTTTAGTTTTTTTTTTTTTTGTCGCTTTTTATATTTGTGGCTTACGCCAAATTAACGCACAAAATCATTTTAATTGCGCGCACATTTAACAGCTGTTGTTGCCAGTCAAGTGCCGGCGCATCCATCAGATACAAGATACATTTGTATCTATGTAGCGCGTGGGCGTGCCAAACTTGACAGTGCATTTGCTTGGCCTTCAATTGTTGGGCCCAGGAAGTGCTACAGCTAATTGGCTGACACACAACAAACACACACACACGCACACACACAGCTCATTTGGCAACAGCAAATGGCTAACAATAGCAGCAGCTTTTTGTCGAGATGCCCAACTGGTTTGTCTGGCCTACCTGGCACCACAGGCAAACCCATGCCATGCCATGCCATGCCATACCATTCCCCCTTCCCCCATTCACTCGACCCCGCTTCCCCACCATCTCTTGGCTAGCCCCCCAACTTGGGCCGCCTCAGTAAACTCGTTTGCCGCTGACCCAATTTCATGCCACTTATTTTTTTTTCGACTTTTTACAAATATTTTATTTAGTTTTGGCTTTGGTTATTTTTTTTTTTGCACAACAACAACTGAATTTATCTGAAATGCGTGCGCTTTGGTCCCGGGTCTCAGTTTCAGTTTCAATTACAACTTCAGACACAGCTTCAAGTTGCGGCTAGCTGCCTTAACAGAGAGGGGGGTGAGCTCAGACAGCGCTGAAGATCGAGCTGAAGCTAGAGCTGGAGCTGAAGAAGTCGTTGAAGCTGGGCTAGAGTTAGCTCTGGGCGCAGCCATTTGGCCTCTCACTCGAGCGCAGTCAAGCGGCAAAAACAATTTGGCGGCACAGTGGCAGGTGTGAATGTGGCAACAATTCGACAACCACTCTAACATACCCTGTAATTTGCATGCCTAAAGGCCCCAACTAGACTTTTAACAATTCCAATTCCAATTCCTCGAATTCATCTATGTGTCGCATTCGTAAACGTTTTAATTCAAACAACATTCGTAAGGAAGCTTGAATTAAATATTTGATAATATATGCTTTGGGCTAAATATATAAAATTCTTCGAGATGTGGAGACCTAACGCAAAGGAAACAACGTGTGCATGTGATAAACAAGAAGCTGCTTTCCAGCATTAAAGGCTTTAACTTTACATAGTCTCTGAGCGGGTTGATCTAACCACAAGTATATCAACTGATGAACTCACAACTCAGTATACCCTTTTAGAAGCAAATTAATGGGTGCCAGCTAAAGCTACAGATATTACACACTCTTAGCCAATATTACCCATTAATTTATGTGTAATTTCCCAGGTCAACAGGCTTAAGTATATGTTACTCTCTCTCTCTATTAAGTCTTTAAAGATTCTTAAGAAAAATCTCAGAGCAGTTCTTATCAAATTGTACACCAAAGCTGCCAGTTAGACTCAAATAATTGGATAACACTTCAGTTAAATGAATTTTGCTGAAATATGTCATTTCCTGTCTGATACTATGTTAATGCTCTATATATATATACTGTCTAAGCATAATGCCCAGGCAAACAATGCGGCTCGGCTCGTTACTTAAAAGGTAGTTTCTCATATCTTTACCGTTATTTACAGTGCATAATGTATGAATCAACTGGTGGGAACTACTTATTTCTATATACCCTGGAAAAGGTATATTGGTTTTGTGCAAGTGTTTGTAACAGGCAAACGGCTGCAGCTCCGATTTCATATATTATGTACACATTCCTGATCAGCACGAAGAGCTAGGCTGATCTGGATAACTACAGACACTTTCAATATTTTCTTGAACTTGAAGATTACAAGAGCTAGATATGCCTCACTTTAAGTGGAGGTTCTTGTTGAGTTTAAATAGATCTTAAAGATTTCACTATTTGATTCAGTTCGCCCAAAATTCTAAAGAAAACAATTTAAAGCGAGATCCTTGTTGCTTGGTATGTGTTTTGTACATTAAAAATAGTCCCTGAGAGTTTTCATAAATATCGGACATTAAATATCGAAGTAATCAATATCAACATGCATTATGCCAAATATATACGGATAAAGGGATAAGTACAGAAGCAGCTGAAGCTGGGAAAAAAGAACCTAGAATGTTTGTAAGGGCACCTTGACACTGGATTCGGGGTATCTTCTAGTCGTTCACGCCCAGCTAAAGCACTCTTACTTATTGTTGTTTCGTTTGTTGTTACCCATGCTGCATAGCCGGCTAGCCTAAGAGAGAGAGAAAAAAAAAACAGAAAACCAAAGAGCTTAACTGTTTACTAGACGGACAAACAACGCAATGCTGCACGTTTCAACACCCGCACGATAACAAGCCAACAACAACAACAACAACAATAACGACAGCAACAACAACGTGACAACAGCTGATGTTGTTGTTGTTGTTCAGTCTTAACGGCTGATCGAGTGACAAGGCGAATGAATTATGTTTAGTCCGATAAATAAATGAACAACAAAAAGATATTTCGTATGTAGATTTGTTAAATTTACCAATCGAGCGCGCGCCAATTATAACCGAAAGCAACAGCAGCAACAACAACAACAATAAACAATTTGGTAGCTCTTACATCAGAGCTTGTAGATATTGTAATAAAAACGAATGGCCCCACGATTCGAAAGAAAAAATAGCAGCAGCAACAACAAAAGATACTTTTGTATCTTTGTTGTTGCTGCAGTTTTTAACGGCATTTTGCGTGGTTTACATTCATTACAAGCCGCATTTGTTGTGGCTGCGGCTGCCAAAGCGGTTGCGTTTTTTTTTCAACACTTAAACGATATTGGCCCCAATCGACGTCAAGGTCGGCGCTGCAAGTGCCAAACGCCAATGGCCCTTTTCTGGGCAGAGCAAGGGGGCGGGGGGTGAGGGACGGGACACTTAAAAGCCATTGCAACAAAATTTGAAATGCAAGCGTCCACTGCAATCAACAACAATGCTCAACTAATTGTGAATGACTTCGATTGCATAAAGTGTAACACTTTAAAGGTAGCCGTACCGGTACGGCAGATATTCGTTTGGGGGATTTACGAGGCTGCACACGGTTAATCGCTTTAAAATTAATTAATTAAATGAGTACAAGCTGAACAGCCTGAATTGCCACTTGGTAGTGCAATAATCTGTTGAAGATACTCAGATACACCCTCTGAAGGTAGGGCCCCTTGACGTTGGGATCGCGTGACCTTGGTGCTTAGATTAAGACGGTCCCTAAAACGTTGGAAGTTGGAAGAGTCACAGAAATCAGCAAGACAAGTAATTAAACCTCGTAGAAAATTTTGAACTAGACACTCCTATAGTTTTTATTTGAAAACATATCTAAATACCTATCGATAAAAACAAATTTCTTTCTCTTGCAGCTATCGAACGTACAATAAAAATAGCTCGTGTGAAAAAGCAGCAGCAGCAGCCTCACACAGCGGATTGAAAGGATCGAAGAAGACGCCACGCCATGCACAAGAGAAAGAGACCCTAGAGAGAGAGAGAGAGAGCGAGCGAGCGAGAGAGAGACTAAATCAAAAGCCAGAAGAGAAACAGAAAACCCCAAACAATTATCCAATCGTTGCCATCATTATCATAGTAGAACCCGACAAATATGGTGCTAAATCTCCTCTTTATCACGACGGTCATCAAGTCCACATTCGGTGTGGTAACCACTGGACTCTGGCTGATACCCTTGCTCTTAGCGGCCATCACCTATTATCGCTATGATGCAGTGGATCCGGAATCGCGGCCCTTGGACCAGTTGAATCTCTGGCCCGAATATGATTTCATAGTGGTGGGCAGCGGCTCGGCGGGCGCGGTGGTGGCCAATCGACTGAGCGAGCTGCGCAAATGGAAGGTGCTGCTGATCGAGGCCGGGCCGGATGAGAACGAGATCTCGGATGTACCCTCGCTAGCCGCCTATTTGCAGCTAAGCAAACTCGACTGGGCCTACAAGACGGAACCCTCGACGAAGGCTTGTTTGGGCATGCAGAACAATCGCTGCAATTGGCCGCGAGGACGAGTCCTGGGCGGCTCCTCCGTGCTGAACTATATGCTCTATGTGCGTGGCAATCGGCATGACTACGATCATTGGGCCTCGCTGGGCAATACCGGCTGGGATTACGATCAGGTGCTGCACTACTTCAAGAAGTCCGAGGACAATCGCAATCCCTATCTGGCCAAGAGCGCCTACCATGGTCGTGGCGGGCTGCTGACCGTGCAGGAATCGCCCTGGCACACGCCCTTGGTCGCCGCCTTCGTGGAGGCGGGCACGCAGCTGGGCTACGACAATCGGGACATCAATGGCGCCCAACAGGCTGGCTTTATGATTGCCCAAGGCACCATACGACGCGGCTCACGCTGTTCCACGGCAAAGGCGTTTCTGCGCCCGATACGCCAGCGTCCCAACTTTCATTTGTCCATGAACTCGCATGTGACACGCATCATCATCGAGCCGGGCACCATGCGCGCCCAGGCCGTGGAGTTTGTGAAGCATGGCAAGGTCTATCGCATTGCGGCACGTCGCGAGATTATATTGTCAGCGGGTGCCATCAATACGCCACAGCTGATGATGCTCTCAGGTCTGGGGCCGCGAAAGCATCTCGAACAGCATGGCATACGTGTGCTGCAGGATCTGCCTGTGGGCGAGAATATGCAGGATCATGTGGGCATGGGCGGACTAACGTTTCTCGTGGACAAGCCCGTGGCCATAGTGCAGGATCGCTTCAATCCAACTGCGGTCACCTTCCAGTATGTGCTGCGCGAACGCGGACCCATGACCACATTGGGCGGTGTCGAGGGTTTGGCCTTTGTGCATACACCCTACTCCAATCGCAGCATCGACTGGCCGGACATACAGTTCCACATGGCGCCCGCTTCCATTAACTCGGACAATGGTGCGCGAGTCAAGAAGGTAATGGGTCTTAAGGAGTCCGTTTATCAGGAGGTCTATCATCCCATTGCCAACAAGGATAGCTGGACTATAATGCCGCTGCTGTTGCGTCCACGCTCCAGGGGCAGCGTTCGCCTGCGCTCGGCCAATCCCTTTCACTATCCGCTCATCAATGCCAACTACTTTGATGATCCGCTGGATGCCAAGACGCTGGTGGAGGGCGCCAAAATTGCGCTGCGCGTTGCCGAAGCGGAGGTATTCAAGCAATTCGGCAGCCGGCTCTGGCGCAAGCCGTTGCCCAACTGCAAACAGCACAAGTTTCTATCCGATGCCTATTTGGAGTGCCAGGTGCGCACCATATCGATGACCATCTATCATCCCTGTGGCACCGCCAAAATGGGTCCCAGCTGGGATCCGGAGGCCGTTGTCGATCCACGACTGCGCGTCTATGGTGTGCGCGGGCTGAGGGTCATTGATGCCAGCATTATGCCGACCATCAGCAGCGGCAACACGAATGCTCCGGTCATTATGATCGCCGAAAAGGGCGCCGATCTCATAAAGGAGGATTGGCTCAACAATCCCGAGTATAAAGTCAAGCGGCAGGATGGCTACAGCGACAGCGAGCCGGCCGCCAGCAGCAATAGCAACAGCAACAGCAGCAACATTCACAGCAGCAGCAGCAACAATTTAACGCTAGCAGCAACAGCTGCTGACAGCCTGACAAGCAGTTAGCTGTGCCTGTCGTTGGGCAGGGGTCAGGTGTGCTCAGGGGTCAACTAGCTTTACAAGACTCAAACAACCGAACGGACAGTCCGACTGTCGCACTGTCGGACTGTCGCACTGTCGGACAGTCGCCTTCATGGACAGCGTGTTGCTTTTTTATTATCAAGTCCCGAACAAAAGTTTGCCATTGTTTCAATCTAGTGTTAAGACAAACAAACGAACAAACAAAAGTTCGCCTTTTTGGGCTGCTATCACATAACGCCAAACAACAACAACAACAACAACAACAATCAACAATAGTTGGCAACATTAGCAACAATAACAACGACAACAACAGCAAATAGTTTCCCATGCAAACATTTATCCCAAAATGATGTAATGGCGTGAAAAGCATGAAATCGAGTCATAGTTATGTACCATATATAATTTCTAGACTCTAGTTAAGCTAAACATAATTATTGCAATTATTATTACATTTTATATATATTCTCTTTTTTTTTTTGTCTTATTTAATTTATAATGAAATATTTGTATAGTAAATATTTTTGACTATTTATAAGCCACTTACGAGCATAATAATTATTTATAAAAAAACATCTGAACTAAAGTTTATTTAATAAATTTAACTCATTGAAATGAAGTACTATTAAAATGCTTGACTAGCGTATACCCTACATATCTGTTTAATATTCATTTTATTTTAGTTTAATATCTCACTTTTTCCAAAGGGTTTTCTTAAATATAAAAAGCTAGCGTCTTTCTGCAGGCTGTATGTATATCAGATTCAGCCAGATCGAGCCACTAGATCATATAACTAGGCTAGGAGTTCTAGATAGAAAAACTAGACCCTACTTTCTGCAGTTCAAGCTTCTCACTTATAAGATTCACTAAGCTTCTTATATATGAGCGAAATCATGATCAGGTCGGATTGCTATAACATAAAGCTTCATAGCAAGAATCAGCTGAACAATAATTTCTGGTATGTCCAACTTTTCTATTCTTCAAGATGTAAACACAAGATAAACTCAGCTATAATTTAGCTTGACTGCGTTCAGATAATATCTGCATAATCTGTTCCCATGGGAACAGTTGTTCGAAAATAAAGCTTTCCTATATCATTTCATATCCCCAAAGTTATTTGATTTACGACTTGCTGTTTTGCCTTGTTTTGTTGATATTTAAAGCTGATGGCAAATAAATTAGCCCTAGTTTAAATAAAGGATAAATCAACTCGTATGCGCTCAAGAATATAAATAATCAAACTTGTTTGTTGCCATCGTTTGCTAATTACATAATTCTATTAATTTTGTGTGTCATACATTTTAATAGATATACCCGGCAACATTAACAGCAACAAGCCCAGAGCTTGGCCCAACCACATCAACAATTTATGTCGTCCGCCTAAAAGCAGGCAACACAAAAATTGTCAACAGCAAACAACTGGGGCGTGTCCATAGAGATGGCTAAGCCAACGATGAATGGCTGCCTCATACGATGAATAAATGCACGAGTATATGAAAGTAGACGCAAATATACTTTAAAATAGGCAATTTTATAATTATTTACATACTTTATAAACGTTTCATAAACGTTTTTTAAAGTAATTGGCATTCATTGAATTTGATAACATGATTTATTTACGCTCAACTTCAACTAATTGCTTTTAACTATTTATAAGCTATAAATTGGCCTGTTTGCATACGTTCATTGAATGTGTTGACATCATTTATTTACGCTCACTTTTAATATTAAAACAACACAATATTTACGTTCCTTTCCATGGGGCAATTAATCGCAAATCAATTTAAATTTAAAATTTACAAAAATTAAATATCGATACAATTTGAAATAAAGTAATCGCTTAGCTTAGATTATTAATTCTTGTTTTGATAAAATCACTTTTTGTCGTTTGTATTAAATCAAATGCAAATCAATTGCATTTGGTAAATAATTGATTTGTCAGCAAGGCAGCATTTGCTTCATACAAACGATAGTTGCGCCAGGCGCATATCTAGCTTATGAGAAATTTATATAGCCCAACAGTTGGGCGCAGTCATTAAATGACAAAGCACAAAATGACACGCAAATGCAAATTGAATGAAATTAGCTGAATTAATAGCTCGTTGCTTCAGTTTTACCAAAGAGCGACAGAACCTGATATCGACGCCATATACGGCTTCTGATACCCTGAACCCATTGAAAATGGGTCAAATAAAGGGTATAATGATTGTGTGAGCATGTATGCAACAGTCAGAAATCGATATTATATTCTCTTGATCAGGACGTTGAGCTGACTCGAGCTAATCAGGTCAGTTCCCCAATTCTCCAAGCTGTTTCCCTATTTGAACTCGTTAAGCATAGCTCGAAAATGATTAGAGCTAGGCGCACTATGTATGTATGTAGATATTCATATGGTATACACAAATCAAGATAAATACTTGCGCTTTAATGTATTCACAGTAGGGTTTAGCATATTTAAGCCCTTACAATTTTATAAGAATCGGAAAGAAACTGAAGAACATTTTATCGATGATGTGGAAGAAAAAAATGAAAAGAAGCAACACAACCGCTGTGCAGAAGGTAACTAGAGATGAGGGTATCACCTAGTCGAGCACTCCCATTGTTACAAGTTTTTGGTTATTTGTTTTCTTTTTGGCCCTGACAAAGGGCGCATCAGCGATAAATTCAACTTTGAACTTGGCCACAACACGAGCCACTCGCCGCGAACAACGCCCAACAATTTGGCCATAAATCATCTCAAGAGCTTAAAATTGGCGACCTTGAACAGCAATTTTCATGTCCATAACATCGGAAGCCGGAAACTCCATTGATTCAATACAGCTTGAATCGACTGACTATTGACTAATCAATGCAAATTGCATTAGGTATTTTTCCGGCTAAGAAAAAACGGAAACGTGTGTCCAACACATACGCACACAAGGTGTTAAAAGCTAAGACCCTGCCCGGAAAGCCTTCCCAAATGGCACAAGAAAACATTCCACTACAAAAAAAAAACTGGCTCTGCGATAAAATGTTAATTTTGGTTGACTTAATTAATAAAGTTTAGCTAACAAAAACAAAAAAAAAACTAAGAGTTGACTCTTGACCATTTTACAGCTACATTTTACACTTGGCTAACGGTCAGCAGGCGGTTAAATACGCAGTTGAAGGTCGTCGAGGAGGTGCGGTAAAGCGAGCAAATTGTTATACCTGTTTATACCCTGTACTCAGGCAAAGAGGGTCATACATATGTGTGCTGTGTGCAGGCACAAGATATTTAGTAGCCCATAATAACATTTGTTTAAGCCAAGAGCGAATACAGGGTATCTTAGAGCTCAAACTATTTACTGTCTTTTACTTCCTCTTGTGATCTCTTCTGCGCATTTGTAGACTATATATACTATAGGGTGTGTGATTGTGAGGCATTCACAACTTGAGCAGAAATGAACTCAGAGTTAGCTAGAGAAATCATATTGGGTATGTGGTCTATTGGACCCCTGTAGCCTATATCTAGGGTATGTGTTTGTGAAGCACTCACATCTCTTATGATCGTTTGTATGTTACATCTACATTACAGGGTATGTGACTGTAAGGCACTTTTAACTCTTGCATGCTATCTCTGTCCCGTACAGGGTATGTGATCGTAAAGCGTTCACAACTAGAGCACTTAAAGTTATTTAAGCATTGCGTATTCGATTCTAGTATTAGAAAGGAACACGCAGAAATTAATTCAGAGTTAGTTTGGCATGTGATCTCTCGTGGGCGTGTGTAGGCTACCCCTCACTTAGTACAGGGTATGTGACAGCGAAGCACTCGCATCTCTTGTGGTCGCTTGTATGTTACATTTATTACAGGGTATGTGACTGTAAGGCACTCTCAACTCGAGCATTTAGAATATTTGATGCATTACGTATACGCAGCCATTAGAAGAGTTCCCTCATAAATAAGCTCTGAGCACAGCGTCCGCCCAAACAGACCACCTGAGCTCGGAGTCTAACAGCGTTTGAGTTGGCAAATTTGGTTCATTGTGTGGACTTAAATAATTATAGAAACGAGCACAGAGCATTTACAAATTACGTTTACACGTGATTATGGCATTTGAAAAGCTTGGTTTGAGCATAACGTATACGCAACGTTGCATGCAGACGCAGCACATGCAGCATTTGGCTGCAGCTGCTGTTGGCTTATTCTGCCGTTTGTCACCAGGTGTGCCCTTCGCCGAGCCAAACAAATCTTGGACGTAGATACATAAAAATTTGGCAATGCAAAGCAAAGCTAAAGCGAGCCATTAACTGGGTCAATGGCTGACGGAAGTTAAATCGCATCAACAAACTCTGCGCGGGCAACAAGTTGTTATTGTTTTTGTTTTTTTTTTGTATTTTAGTATCGAATGCATGAACTTCCTTTTTTTGTTCGGCGTCGTTACGTGCCACTTAGAGGTTAATAAACTTGTTATAGTCTGATATGATTTGTCAATTAGCATTTGCATGCGAATCCGTTAGACAAGAGCCAACTCACGCAGCCCACCCAGTTGACCCAGACCCAGTGAACTTGATCTCTAGCCAAAAGACAAAAAACAACAACACCAACAATAAAAACTAAACTGAAAAAGAAAAAAATATTAAGAATTTCAGGGCTAAGAAGTTTTTACCACGCACGCTTCGCAACCAGCTAGACTTTAAGTTTGGGCTCACCTGTAAAGAGAGAGAGACAGAGAGAGAGAGTGAGAGGTTGTGTATTAATTATTGAAGCTATTTTAAAAATTACAACGTCACATTGAAATTGTTATTAATGATTGTCTGTTGGAGACGGAAATGTTTTGAACGCTTCTACAGAACATCTAACGCTGCATCCAACCGGTCTCCCCTCTCTAGATTTGGCCCTGTATTTAAGTA